CTGCTGGTATCAAACCCAGTTCTCTGAAAGAGCAGCCAGTGCTCTTAACCTCTGAGCCATCCCTCTAGCAACATGGCAACATAGTGTTTCAAGGGTACAAAGCTAGCCTCGTATCCTTGAGACCCTGTGTCAAAAATAAAATTAACAAAACTAAAACAATGAAATGAAAGCAGATTAGACCAACTGATAAAAATGCAGATAAAGGTACAGGGTAAGAAGCAATCCTCTAGAAATAAACTGTTAAGAAGTTGGACAGATAAGGATTCAATATGGAAGACTGAGGAAAACAGCCTTTTGTGTGAAAGGAATCAACCCAGGTAAGGGAAGTGTGCTTTCTGAAGGAAGGTGTGAGCAGATGTGTCAAAGGTAGTTTGCAATTGGCAGGATACAGAATACAGGAAGGACAGAATAGCAGGTAGTGGTTTTAGAAATAGTGAAACCATTTACGTCCTTGATACAGAGGCTTGCCTGGGTGTGTCTAGTGGGACATGGCGCTATAAGAGACAGGGAAATCTAAAACAATACAAGACACCATCTTAGGAAATGTTTCCAAGTTTTTTGCTGTTATTTGTTTGTTTGGGTTTGTGTGTGTTTTTGTGTGTGTGTGTGTGTGTGTGTGTGTCTATAAATCATTGGGCATCAGCTAAAAGTACACAGTTAAATATCCATGTGATATTTATTTCTATTTATACATATCTGTATGCACATTCATGCACATATGCATATACACATATCTGTATAAATGCATAAGTGCAAACTCACAGGCATGCTTTTTTAAAGAAAGGAGTTTCTATATACATATGATTGCTTATTAGAGGAAAAATGCTATGGGCAACTTAAAATATACTTCATGAATCTTGGTAAAATGTATAGTATAAGCTTTTGGTATTTTTTTTTTTTTTTTTTTTAACTGGTAATGTATTGGTACAGAGGATCTGAAGAGCTGTGAAGACATTTTCATAGTTCTGAAATCAAGCTGTGTATGCATTTCTACACATCTGTGTATAAACTTTACTTCTGTGGCTATTTCCTGATTAAAGCAGGTTTCTTTTGCTGATGCTAATGAGCAGAATTATGATCCGAGGCCCTGTTCCTGTCAGAGAGGTGTGGAGATGCTCAGGAAACAGCACGCTCCATGGGAAACTGTAGCTACGGCCTGGATTCCTGTGCTATATACCAACTCTACGAAGTAAGCCTGATTATTTCCATTCTGCAATGAAGAAACACAGCTGAGGAGATTGCTTCATTGTTAAAGTGCTCATCATACAAGCCTAAGGAGCTAAGATCTATGCCCCAAAACTCTCTTGTAAAAAGTAAGGCAGGACAGCACATACCTTGAATTCCAGTAGAGACAGGAGACAGGGACAGGCAGGATCTCTGGAGCTCATTGGTCAACTTGTCTAGTTAGATAGGTGAGCTCCAGATGCAATAAGAGAGGCTGTTGCAAAATATATTGTAGAGGGTGATGAAAAAAACACCTGATGACCTCTGCCTCACATGCAGGGACACACACTTACATGTACAGCTGCACACACATGTCCACAGACATACACAGAAATAATAGTCCAATAAGATGAATAGACTAAAAACAGTTAAGTTGCCTATCCAAGTATGAAATGAAATCTCATGGATTTCACTAACATTTGTAGTTGACAGTGACCTTTTGTTGTTGTTGTTGTTTCTCTGACATTGTTAATTGCCCCACTCCTGACACAAAGAAACTCAATAGCAAATGAGAAAGATTTTTATGCATTGGTCAATGTGAGGCCTATGGAGCTCCACATACTCATTTACCTTTGCCTGTATGTGCAGCTAGTTTTTTCCATTGCTCTAAACACAAGCAAGCACTCAGCTTACTTGGTGTTTATTCAGCAAAGAAAACCTGAATTGATTAAAGGAAAAAATAAAGGTTGTTACATACCAAAGGAACAACTCAGTGACACTTTGTTAGAAACCCATCGGAACGATATTTTAAAATAATTGTTCCATTTCAGAAATAATTGTTGATGTGTAAGTAATATTCAGTTGTATCTGGAAAAAAAACAAAAAAAAAAACAACAACCTAGAATCATACCGAAGACGTTGAAGCTGCAGCCTGAATTTGACTGCCATGTAGACATTGTTCACAAAGTTCTCCCTCAAATGCAAAACATGAAGTTAAACAGGAATCATCACAAATGTTTGTTGATAAAAATAAAATCCCTAAATTACCTACCTGATTTTGTAATTGAAGTGTAGAAAATAGCATGCAAAGAATACTCCCAAGCTGGTGATATTATCTATTTTGCAGAAATATAAAAGGCATATGTGGTTTTTTCAAAGAACTCAAAGAAAGCAGCCTAGACATCCACTACTTCATCTACGGTAACAACATGACTAAGAGGGTTTGAGAGGCTACGCAGACAAGATCGAGGGCTGATAAACAAAGGTGCAATGGGCATTACTTACATCATCATTTCTAGAGCTCTTACTTTACATGGCCAAGTCCCTCCCTGACAGGACTTCGCTTTCATTGTTTTCTAAGGTATTCTATTTCTAGGATTCCAGAACAGTGAGGAGGGCACTGGGTGAGGCTGGTGTGTGAGTTTTGTGAACTGAGAATTGACTGAGCAAGTTCAGGACTCTTGGTACCTGTTCTGTGCTCCCCAGTTGCCTTCCTTATTCACATTCATATTTCACTGTGTAAGAGCATTTACAAAATAATAGTACCGTTCAAGAAATAAAGGCATTAAGAACAAGGGTCTACAAATCTCTCTGAACATTTCTTCAAGCACATCAGTTCATCTTGGTTGATCTGTCCCTTGGATTGTTACTTAACTACATTCACTTGTAGCATCCGATGTCCTACTGCATTTGATCTGCATCATTCTCATTTCCATAATGGTTTGCATAACTTGATAAGAAATCTGCAGTGTATTTTGCTACTTCGAGAAAAGACGTCAAACTAACATAATCTGTTAGTTCTGACAGCTCAAATTAATGAACTGTATCTTTCCTTGGCAGGAGAGGAGGAGGAGGGGAAGACTGAGAGCTAGAGGCTCGGCTTTAGCGTTTATCAGTTCTCTGAGAAGGGAAATCTGTTTCTGTGGTCGAATAATGAATTGCATATGCTTGTAATTACAGACATCTCTGTGCTCTGCGTGTCACTTAAAGGCTTTTATTCGCGGTGTTAATTTCCTGTGTTTCTTCATTGTTTCTACAGGTCCAAAGAAAATAATTTAAACAATTAAGTCAACTGAAATAAGCATATAATTAGATACTATAAAGAAAATCCTCTTTAATGACAGGATTTGGGGGGAGGGGACACAGGAGACACGCTCAGCCCTCGAACAAGCTGTTTTCTTCCTCCGACAAAAAACTGGGTACATTCTGAAACTTATTTCAACAGACTCTGGCTTGTTACTGTGGCTACAAGGAAACACGTGTTTGTATTCCTGGAAGGAAGGGGGGTAAACTTTACCACAATCCTGGACAATTTATTTTCCAAAGAAAGGAAAACCAAAAATCCCTTTTAAAATTAGCCCCCAGTCCCAAAACAGGTCTTTAAGTCTGTGCATCTCGGGAGCTCAGGCACTCCAGGAGACCTGGATTTAGAGGCCGGGTAGTGAGGACTGTCCTGCGTGCCTTTCCCTGGTGTGTAGCTCCACATAGCGGCGATGGCCTATGGAACTCGCACAGAGGCGGGCGGCAGGGAAGCAGAGTCGGCCTGGGCCTCCGGGAGCAGGGCGGGTCCCCTGGAGGAGTAGGCTGTGGACTGAGCTCCATGCGCCTCCCTCCTCGGAACGCGCGCTTGCGCTAGGCAGCCGCATCCAGCTCTCCCGCGATGCTGCCCAGGGGACCCTGCAGAGCTCCGCCTCTCCACCTGGGAACCACCGCAGCCAGGGCTCCCGCCCGACGCCGAACTGCACAGCTGGAGGAGCCGGGAGCCCCAGAGGAGGCTGTAGGAGGCTGAAGAGAGGCGAGCCTGGGAGGCCAGGAGCCGGCAGGGGAAAGCCTGCCCTCGGGAGACATTCTCCCAAAGCAGAAGTCTGAGCTGCACTAGTTTGGTGCGTGGAGATGTGCGCTGCTCCAGACTTGGGTCTAGCCGTCCCCTGCCCTCTTTACCACGCAGCGCTTGCTACGTGGACGTGATGTTAAGCAGTTTCCCTGTTTCCTTTCCTGTGTTTCATTTACCCATGTCGTTGCACTCCCGCCTGCTCCGGATTCCAAGTGTGGGTTGCTGAGCCCTCAAGACCATCCACCCCAACTCTTGTCCCGGTCCATACTGAGTACCTCGCTCAAAGTGGGGTGGGCAGGCCACCGCCGCAGCGAAGAGCCCGCGTGGGGAGGGAAGAGCCAGCACCAGTGCCTATGCCAGGGTGCCACTGCAGGGTCCTTGGGTCTGCCTGGGTTCTCTGGCCTAGAGCTCTGATTTACCTGATGCACTTCTCTCATCCCGGCCTTTGTGGTGCAAGTCACCTACTCCCTTGCTGGAACCCTGGCTGTGGGCAGCACGCAGGGGACTCAGCCTGGAAGCCCCATTTCATGCTATCTCCAGCAGCCTCGGCCCAGTTCGCTTTTTCCGCCTGCGGCCACTTGGAACCCAAGGTAGCCAGAAGCGTTTCCCGGTTCCTCCCTGCTCTGTTTTCCTATTCTGTGACAATAATCTGTCTTTCTTTTGGTGGGGGACGGTAATTTGAGCATCTTTACTGTGTCATAGTGGAATTCCACATAGGAGTTCTCAAAATGGAAATGTGCACCCCCACTAGCAAGCAAGGTTCCGAACTCCCCCTCCCCCAGCTATTAAGCAAGGTTCTGAGCCCCCTCCCTTCCCAGTAAGCAAGGTCCCTAGCCCTCCAAAATAGCCTTTCCGAAGTCTTATATAATTAAATAAAAATAAAGACTCCGGAGGTTCCAAAGCGTCTCTAGATGTTTTAGCTCTCTCTCCCTCTCTCCTCTCTCTCTCTCCTCTCTCTCTCTCTCTCTCTCTCTCTCTCTCTCCTCTCTCTTTCGTGCGCGCGTATGCGCGCGCGCATGTTCTTGCGTTTTCTTTCATTTCTACCATTAGGAAACTCGTTGGGGCCACTGGAAACTCAGGAGAGGCTCAGCTTTTATTTCCCATGGATGCCTGCCTTTCCGGAAACGCGACGAGTGTGTAAGCAGAAGGACATGTGAGCGAGACAATCGGTTCCTGCTAAGAAATAAACCACCGGGGAGAACTGACAGCACTGAAGTCCGGGGAGCAGCTGGAGGAGACTGAGGGGGAGCTGGGGTCGGTTGCTCAGCGGGGATCCGGGCCCCCGCGCTTCAGCACCGGAGGCGAATGGACAGCGTCTCCCAGCAAGGCTGCAGCCTTTGGGACAGAACTGCGCTGCTGCCTCCACTCTCCTCCCTGCTGCTGTGGTCGCCAAGATCAGCCCAGCGCTCCCATCCTCACAACCAGAAGGCGGTGCCTGCGAATCCCCCTGCCCCTGTTCCCTCTTTTGATGGAAGAACAGTCCTTTCCCACTCGCCACGCGTAGCTACCTGGTTCCGCCGAGTACTCTTGATCTACAGTTAAACTCCAGGCAGCAACTTCAAGGATAATTTTTCTAGGAGCTGGGTAGAATGCAGGCAGAGGAGTGAACTGGAAGTTCTTGGCGGCACTGAGGAATCATGGGCTCTGCAGCAGGGGCTGACATACTCAAAGGCCCACAGCTCTCGAAATAACGTCCCTGAGTGAATCTCAGCTGTTATGGAACTAGCTTTGTGAGAGGTTGGAGATACTCAAAACCCAACTTTGGAGAAGCTAAAAGACTTCTATTTCTCCACTCAGCAGGTAAGTAATAATACTATTATATCTGTTTTATGCAATTTGAATTAATAATTTCTTGCAAGGTTTAACAGAAAGGATACAAACAGACTTTACTTCGTGGATTTAAAAAATGAGTAATTTGATTATTTAAAAATGATTGTTCCTAGATTAATGTCTCCAAAAATCTCTTGCTTGCTAAAATAGTCTGATATTTTACTTGTGTGAAGTCGCTTGTGTCACAGTGATGAAAGTAATATGTAGTTGGCTTACACTATTATAATGAGCTTTTCCTTGGACATTTTCTTACTGTTTAAGTAATGCCTTTCAGGATTTGTTCATATCTTGCTAATTGTTTTCTTCAAAACTAATATACACCAGTATTTGCTGTTCTTACACATTCAGTTGACAATGATTCTGCATCTGGTATACAACACCTGCAACTCACAAAGTTGGAGGTGCTTTAGCTACTTCCAATGTATTTTGTAGGGTTATAATTTGCTACTTCATTTACAGGAACAAAAATGTGTACAAATGGACATGTGATTCCTTTCTTTTTCAGGCACCCAAGGATAGCTGCACCTGTAGAATTGTCTACAGATATACACATCCCACTTAGAACCCCTTTCAGGCTTTTAAACCCTGAGGTAATTGGCTCAAATGAGACCCTCTAGAAGGCAGGAAGTGAACAGTTATCTTGTTGCTCATTAAGAGAGCTGGGTTTCCACAGCATTCCAACAGATTAGTTCCACAAAATATGATTTTCATTGAAATCAAGTAGGTGATAGATACTAATAAGTTCTTACAAATCTTAAGCTTTAAAATGGTAATTAAATCTTTTTTTTTTTCCTTGATTCTTTCTAGAATCTTCCTTTGGAGCTTTAAAACTGAAATCTTTCACAGTGACCTTGATAAGTATTATGCTTTAATGAAATAGGTTTGCTTGGTAAAAGCAGTTATACAAATTTATAGCTCATGCCTGACATAAAAAAAAAAAAACCTTCAATTCAAGAGAGCAAATTTATTTCACAGGATGGAGAGTGTTGACTTACCAGGAAGGATTTTACTGTCATGGAAATACATGTGATAGTGTATGCATGACCAAGTCTGTGGAAAGAGTTTGCTCCTTTGAAAAAGTACAGAAGCTCTGGAGATTTTTCTTTTAATTTTATGAACCATAGCCGTATGTTTCTCTGAAAATAAAGTTCCCCTACTTCACATTTACACTTACTCCCACATTCTCATTTGAACTCTGAATCTTCAGAGGTAGTTAAGGTGGCTCCTGGTGGGCTGATGGCACGTGTTTTATGTTGGCTGACAGTACCAATCATACATACTCTGAGGAAATACCATTCTGAACTGTCATTTACAGTTCACCATGGAGCTGCTTACGTCTCAGAAAAAAAAACAGAGGATTTATGTCGCTGAACTCCTTGGGGGCTCTTCTGCCCTACGTGTCGTGTCAGACATAATCACTGGAGGAGTAGACAGCTGCATTGTCGTTGTGGATCCCTGCAGTTTGTTCCTCATAGAGTCCGTTTATGTTTCCAGTCTATGAGACAGGGAGGTGAAAGTGCCACATGGTAGACATAATCATGTTTTAGGAGCATTACAGCATGTGGAGAAACTATTGTTTCGGTTGCCAATTAATTAGCATAGATGGACTCCCCCATCAGTGGAGCATAAAATGAGATCAGGGAATGTTCTCGAACGAAGCCTGTGGGTGTACGGCGGCAGTTCCCTTTTCAGTGGTTGAGGGGCAGGCTTTCTCTACATAGAACTGAAACTGCATAAAGTCAAACTCACCTCCATAAAATCCCTTTGGAGATTTGGTCAGTGAAAGAAATAACTCGAATCCATCCTTTCAAATTCAGGAATGTTTATGCAAGCCTTCGCCAAGCCTCATCCCTGGAGAAATGTGGTTACAGTTACAATTTGTGAAATTATTTTGTAGCTGTCAAAATCTTAATTTATAATCACATTAAGTAAATTATAAATAAATGGATAGACAGGAAAATAATACAGAATTGAGAGTGTTACTGAAAATCAATCTTCATCTTGAATACACCTCATCTCTGGAAATAAATCAGTACTTTAGTTTAGGAAACTCCTCCCGTGCATGAAATCAATGCCTATCTCAGTTGTTAGCTTGTTTTATTATTGGAAAAGTAAGTATGAGGTCTAGAATTATTGGACACAAGAATAGGTAATTCAGCATATTCTCTGATTGAAAAAGTTTTTGTTGGATAAGATTAAATGTTTTTGGCTCCTACATCTGTTAGATAAAAAATGCAAATAGCCAGGCGTGGTGGCACATGCCTTTAATCCCAGCACTTAGGAGGCAGAGGCAGGGAGATCTCTGTGAGTTCAAGGCCAGCCGGGTCTACATAGTGAGTTCCAGGCCAGTTGGGGCTACAGGGAGACCCTGTCTCAAAAAAGACCAGAAAAAATGCAAATAGAAGTTCATAAATGGGAAAATTTGTGTGTGTGTATCATATATGTGTATAGGTCTGTGTGTGTGTGTGTGTGTGTGTGTGTGTGTGTACGTGTGAAACTGTGGTTTTAAATTAGTCTTAGAATCTACTCAGTTGCTTTCCTTTTTTTCTATAGAAAGGGAATATTGAGAAGTTAGAAAGAAGTTCTAACTTGAATATTTACATAATAAAATATTATAAAACATCGTATTTGATTTCCAGGCATGGTGAATCATATCTTTCATTTCCGCATTAAAGAGGCTGGAGCAGGAGAATTAATCTAAGTTAGAATCCACCCTGGGATGCATAGTGAACTCCAGGTCAGCTTGGGGCTACTGACTGGGAATCTGTCTCATTCTACAACACAAACACAAAGATCAAAACCTAGAAAAAAAAAAATGCCTGGCTAAACTTTTGTGCAGATTATATAAATCCCTATTGATGATTCTAATGTAATTGTCATTAATATAGATCATATTAGATTTGAATACCCATGGTTAACAGTGGAGTTATTTATTTACTTGAATTTCAAAAATTAAAAATTGATTTAAAAATATGAGACTATTTCTCAAATTTAATAAGGTCTTTTGGTAGCTGACATTGATTTACCAGGTAAAAGCCATGAATTACAGACAGAAATGTTTACTCACTGCAGTCTACATAAAAGAAAAACTACTAATGAAGAAAATAGTATGGTAAGCTCATAGTATGGCAAGTGGAAATTGTGTCCACTTTCAACAGACCTCTCCTGAAACTGTCACAATGGCCACAGAGGAGGTAGAAATCATTTGCTTGGCTAAATGTGTAGAATACAGCAGAGAGAGAGAGAGAGAGAGAGAGAGAGAGAGAGAGAGAGAGAGGCTATGCACCATGAAATAGAAAAGCAAGTACTTTTGGACAATATAACAAGGCTGGTTCATAAAGTGCTGGCTGTGAGATGTTGCACAAGTCACTCAACTTACTGAGAGCCTTGATTTTTTTCCTGAAGTGGAACAACTTTAACAGTCAATAAGAATCAGATCTTTACATCCAGATGGGCTTATGTATTTCTCAAGTATTAAAGAAATGGTTGGACGAAATCAATTTCATGGACATCTAAATATGAGGCTCTGAGGGTCTTTTGGAATCTTCAGTGTTCTATCTGTGAATTATTGTAAGTGGTTTCTTATAGTATTTATTATTCATGGAAAAATTTCCTGAAAATTGCTGGATGTTAGGAATTCCTTATGCACTTAAGGACTCTCTATGTAAATAACATATATCTTTCTGATAATACTGCAGTATTTTTAACCTCTTTTTGGTATAAATATTTTAACCTAGGCAGAATTAGGTTTAACAATATTTATTGTTCAACATTGATTGATGCCATGTTTTCTACCAGGTTGTCAAATCTAGGTCAATAACACCCAACTTTAACAACTTTCATTTTGTCATTTTGTTGTCTCTGTGTCATAATTTCCTTTTCTATAAAAAAGGTTAATGTTTATCACTAATGGTGCAGACAAGGAAACTCAGAAGTTTAAGTAGACCTTCAAACAACCCAAAACACACATGCATGAAGCTTTTGATTTGGTTTCTGGTCAGTGAGGATAGAATGCAGTGTGAAAGTTGTGGGGCTGACGTATGTAACTGGCATGCTGATGATGTCAAGATACCGATGAAGCACTGATCCTAGTCACACATCTCTTCAGGAAACCACAAGTTATACACAACATGTTATTGTTTACTGATTTTCATAAGATGGAATTTTAGAAGTTACTATAATTGTCAATGTAATTTGTTAATATTTGGTCTGTATAAATTTCTAGACTATCACTAAATATGCTGATGGTATGTTTAAAAATGTAAATTATTGTTTGTTACTATAGTCATTTCTAGTATGTTTTGCTGTTAAATTATTTGATGGGCAGTACAGAGTATTAGAAATTTATAATTATTTATAGTTACAATTTTTGAACTGTGAAAACGGATTTCTTATCACTTACCTAACAAGAAAGGAGTAGATATTAAAGGACAGCAGGAAAGAAAGTGATAGGAAATGAGACTAATTTCCTGGGTCTGAGACCTTTGTCATGCTATCATTCTGAAGCTATACTAACATTGTATAGACTCGAAGTGCTAGAAGATACTTTTGATTTTCATTGTTGATCTTCATCTAGCCAGCAAAGCCGGAGTGCTAGAGTTTATTATGAAAAGAAAACAGTAATTAAACAATTCACTTAAATACTAACTTTAATATACATACTCACATATATTTTTAAAGTGAAATTTGTGAAGTAATTACAGCTATATGTGTACTTAACACATATATTATCAGTCATTCAAGATTTTAGCTGATGTTTTAATGTTTTTAAAGGGACAACCACTTGGTAATTATACTAAATAAATTAATAGAAGCATCTTTTAGAAATTATATCACATTTTAGCAGTAATATATTAAAACATTGCAAACAATGTGCCGTGCAATGCCCACAGAGGACAGAAGAGGCTGTTGATCCCCTGGAACTGGAGTTACAGACAGTCGTTAGCTGCCATGTGGGTGCTGGGATTCTA